CTTCATGTATGTGTGGGGTCCACCGAAATTAAAAATGAAAAAAAAAAAAAAAAACTCACCTCCTACATTGTGTGTATCTCGTTTTCTCCTGTGAAATCGTGCTTCTGTACATAAAGCACGATTCAACTTTAATAATAAATTGAGAGATGCTACATGTACACCAAATTGTAAAACTTGGTGTACAAATAGCCAAATTCTAATAAATTCTATGTAATACAGTTAAATACTAACATAGACACGTCACTGAAATTTGGAAATTAATAAATTGGAGAGTTTAAAATAACGTTCATATGGGAATGGATAACATTCAAGTTGTGATAACAAATAACATAAATGTTGCTTTGTTGGTAGGCCCACATAGGTTGGGGGCATCGTCCCTCAGTTCTTACCAATATCCGGTGTGTAATCGACATGTTGATAGCTAGAATTCTGTCGAATAAGAATCATTGATTCCTTTTACTGCTTTAAATTTAACAGGTTAATTTTCGTTTAATTTCTATAAAATTTATGATTGTGTGTTAGCATTTAGTGCCATGTAGGATTTTGATTTACACTTCTTGTCAAGATTATTATTGTAAGTCATCAAAAAGTTGAGTGGTCATGACTATAAGAAAAATATTTTATTGATCATATAAAATTTTTAACAAATTTCATTACCGTTGATGAAATTAACCCTATTGTTTATAATGGTATCTTTTCTTTTCATTAAAAGAAGGAAAATTAGCGCTAATAGTCTCTAACCTAAAGGTCAAGGCAAAACTGGTCTCAAACTTTCACATTTTAATGCAGAACTCCATAACCATATATATTTTTTATTTTATTTTTATTTTTATTTTTTACTGTTATAAATATAAAATTTTATCCAAAACTAAAATGTCGTTTCTTTTAATTAAATAAATAAAAAATAAAATAAAAAGGAAAGATAACGACATAAAATAATCAAAAAGAAAAAAAAAAAAAAGAATTGGAACAAAAATGATCTGCACCTTCCCCAACCTAAACCCTAGAATCTTGATCGCCACGCCTAAAACCATATAATCCAATTGTTCAGAAAAAGTAGTACGAAGTTTAAGTAACTGACTAAATTAATGAAATAAAAAATTAATTACTTTTCAAATGCAACGATTCTTTGCGAGCTAAATTCACAAATAGTCACCTAACTTTATACTTAGTGTTGTCATGATTATTCAATTTGATTTTGTTTTGTTATGACCACCTAACTTTATACTTAGTGTCATCATAATCATCCGATCTGATTTTATTTCATTATGACCACCTAGTTTTATATAACGTTTTACCATGGTTACTGAATTTCATATAACATTTCATTATGACAACTCAATTTCTTTTCGCTATTTTCATTAATTTTAAAAGGGGTAAAACGGTAACTTTGTATTATATATATATAATAAAAATAATTTTTTTAAAAAATTTTTTTAAAATGTTTATTTTAAAATAAGTTTTTATTTCATTTTAAAATTTTTTTTTAAATAATCATTTTATTTTTAAAGGATTTTTTTAAAAAAATAAGTTTTTATTTTCTTTTAAAAACTATTTTTTAAATAAATTTTTATTTATTTCATTTTTCTAAGTAACTTTTTTTAATAAGTTTTTCAAATATATATAATGTAAAGTTACCGTTTTACCCCTTTTAAAATTAATAAAAATTGTGAAAAGAAGTTGGATGATCAAGATGAAACGTTATATGAAATTAGGTGATCATGATGAAATAAAACCAAATTAGGTGGTCATGGTAGTATAAAGTTGAGTGACGATGGTGACACAAAGTGTAAAGTTGGATGGACATTGGTGTATTTAACCCCAGAATTTGCAATCGTGGATTGCGGGCACTGCGATAGCGCCTTGGGTATCTTGGTTGCGGCTCATATTTTTCCATGACATGGTTGTTACTATGGAAACGTTGGATGAATAGTGAAGTTTAGGGTTTCAATTTCATTTTTTTAATTTGGGCTAGATCTTCATGGTGTGTTGTACCGTCACGACAACCCAAATTTGGGCATTGCGATGGCGAGTTTGCAAGTCATGGTTGCAACTGATATTTTCTAATGATGAGATTGTTACCGTGGAGGTAGTGGATGAATAGTGAAGTTTAGGGTTTCGATAGCAATTTTTTTTTTTAAAATTTTTGCCATATTAATTTTGGGCTAGTTTGAGTATGGAGGCAATGGTGATGAGTTTTGACGTTGATCTGTGTGATGATATTTTTGTAGTGCAATTTTCTGGTTGCCAATGGTGATGCAAGGAAAAAGAGGTTGTGGGGGTGTAGACATTGCCGACGATGGTAAAGTGGCAATGATGGTGGTGCATTGGTGGCGGTGTAGGTGCAGGTGCATGGTTTGTTTTGGGTTGGGTTGGGTTGGGTTGGGTGGGGTGGGGTGACTAAAATATTGATTAATTTGTGATCAATAAATAATAAGTAGTGTATAAAAATGTGAAATTGCGACTAAATTTGTAATCGTAACTTATAATTTGTTAAGTTGTGACCAATTAATTTGATAATTTGTATTCCAGAAATAACTTTTGACTAATTAATTTGATAATTTGTAATAGAGATATAGGTTATGGCTTATAAAATTTGTTTTTTGTGGCCGAACAATAATATGCAACCGATAAATAAATTGTTACCTATAAAATTTGTGATTTGTGACTGAAAAATAATATTATTTTGTGACTGACATGTGATCGAACCACAAATTATATGTTCCGGTGACTTAACCTTTTT